ATGGTTCAGCATGTGGCAATTATACAAACCCAAGAAACAACCATATAAATTAAATTAATGTGCTCATTATACATGACTCTTACTATGCATGCTCAAAGTTATAATTTCGAGATAAATATATCATTCTTCGTATATATCATGCCATCAAAATTATCTAGCATGCATCTCTTAAGAAACTGAAATTGTAAGGGATTACCGTTTTACATGCAAACCCGAATCACAAGTTCTCCGAGAAACCTCGTCCCACGAACAATTACCTTTCCACGAGCGCCCTAATTCTTCGAGTATGCTTGCCCCACGAATGATTATCTTTCCACGATCAAGGCGAGCAATTCGTGCTGATAACGTGTTGTAAAATGACCTATTTATCTAGATCTTTGGTTTGTGTTTGTGGAAATACATAAGAATATAAATAACAATACAAAGAGAGAAAGAGAGGATGCAAAGAACAACTATCCGTAGAGAGAAAATTGTGGACGTTTAGGGGAGGGGATATTCTCATTTATATATGTGTAATCCACCGGAAGTTACAAATGAGGAGTTACATAGGAGTTACAACCACTACAATGTGTTGGAGATAATGGGTAGTGGGAAGTTGAGAATCTATAGTGGAATATGGAGGTTACAACCTCTCACGTTTTAGGATAGGAAGACCCATATTTCCATATTATTTACAACAGTTAAACTATTTAAGTTTAATTTCAACACATGTAGCTTGTAATATTATGAAATTTTTTTTATTGCAATAATATTGTTGAACTAATTATGTTTAATTGTAAGAAAATAATATTATTATTGTTGAATTTTGAATGCCTATGGATATCCACTCATCTGTTGAGACAGACTACATGTTACGACATTAGGTGACGTAACAGAATTGTTGTGTTGTCACAGTAATAAATCTACAAAAAGCAGAATAAAGAACACAACAATTTAATGTGGTTCGGATACAAACGTACCCTACATCCACGAGGACTTGCAAAACTAGTTCAGATTTATGTGTACATTAATAGGACTTAATAAAACACTAAAGACTCCCTCTTTATGTGATACGCCGTTCTTGCACACGACTCGAACTTGTTGATAATCAAAGCAATTCCTCCTCCGCACTCTTGGACTTCCTCCAATGTTGAACTTCCTTCAAACGGCGGATCGACCTCTCCCGAGATCTTTTAAGCACTTCTCCCGAAACGCCGATCTTCTTTATGGCCTGGTAGAAGAAACCTGTTCTGTTGCCACACCTGCCGTGCAGACAGGGCTGCAGCACGGGCTGCACCCTTCAAAGCCTTTATGCTGGGATTTTTCTTATTAAAGCTCCATCGGACTCATATGAGGTTGAGGGCCTTATATAGGCACGAAATCCACCACCCTAAACCTAACTTGAGCCCTAAGAAATCGATTAACTAGGTAATAGAATCCTAGTCGATTTCTACTTCTATTCTAGATAAATACAAAAGATACCTAACTAGAATATAATACATGGAAATAAATCTAAGTCCTAATAAGAATATTACAAAAATAGGACTCTAATTAATTCCAAAATAAACATGGAAAACAAATCTTTGCCAATCTTTAATTTCCACGTATGGCGGATTTCTTCAATCTTCACAAATAGAAATCTCGTGCCAACAATTATCATAAGATATCATAAGAAACTGATATTTTATTTTAGCTTTGTGGACGACCCATCGACCAATCCATAAACCGATCCACAAAGTTGGATGTCAACCAACACCCAGCCCATCTAAGTTGGATCGATAAATGGTACGTACTTCACTTAATATGATGCATAATGAATCGAAATTTGTCATATCATTAGACATGTCTGATAAAATCGTAAGAATTTTCCAAACAACAAGTACCCTATCGATTTATTTTCATAGGCCTCATTTGCTTACCTATATCAGTTTACATTGGATTAATTAGGTGAGATTGGATTAATATCCTACTAACTAATTATTTATTTAGTCAGTAAGATGTTTGATTCGTTAGATTAAATATTGTATTAAATTTGTTAAATTATGATATTAATTGTGAATTGTCTAAAAAGTCTTTTAATTAACAAAATTAAGATATTGTTTTAAGGATAAAATTGTATTTTCCTCTTTTAATCACCCTCTACTAAATTAATCGCAGGGGGAGCGGTAATACTAATTTAACCAAATAATAGCATTTAATTGCGGCTTCAACTGTAGTAGTGGGCTAGACTAAATACGAATTTCATCAACCAAACATCTTACTAACCCCTACTATTTAGTTAATAGAGTACTTTAATAGTATTAAGCAAACGAGGTCTTAAAGTAATATAAATTTGGGGAAATATGCAATAACCCCCTTAAATGAAAAATATTTTGAACTAAACCCAATTGACTTTAAAGACTTTTTTCAAAACCCAAATATCAACAATTAGTGAGACCCCCCTTAAAAATATGTTATCCCTATTTTACCCTTTTAATACACACCCCAACCCTAGATCTCAAACCCACAATTCTCGTTTTTCTCTCTGTCACAATTTCCGTATCTATCTCCTCTCGATCTCTCTCGGCGTCAGCGACGAGAGGCTGACGATGGCGGCCGGAGAAGGTGCGACTGCTAGGCAAGCGCACGCAAATCGATGAACGGTGGAAGAACGAAAACGACGCGGGAGGCGATGGAAAAGGCGGCGTCGGTGAAATTCTGATATGAGGGCGCAACCTCGGTTGTTGAGTCCTCCACCGCCGACGCTGCTGCCACTGCCGCTAAGATTCGAGTCTACTTTGTGAAAATGTGCAGAATCAGCAATGAGGTGTCATGTGTTTAATTTCTTCTTTTTTTGCTTTTATTTTTTTGCAAATGAGTTGATTTCAAGGTGCAGTTGAAATTGAAAGGGAAAACATATACGTTTTATTTATTTATTTATTTATTTCTCCAGATCTGAACATAGAGTTTTAGATTAAACATGACTATAGTCATGTTCAAATATGACTATTTGTTGAATATGAATGTAGTCATATTTGAGTATGTTCTATCTTCTCGTTTCAAATTATATTTTTTTGTGTGGATGGTGATTGGATTATTTTCGTAAACAATAGGGAATCTTGAAAATTGGTGTTTTCTCTACTTCTATGAATTTCAGATTTTCTTTCGAGTCGTAATCTCTAATAATTGGTGTTTTGTCTGAATGATGGGATAGTAACAAGGTTGGATAAATGGTGGTAATTGAGCCCTGGTGGTGGAGGAAGAGGTAATTAATCTGGTGATTTAATTGGGGCTGGGGTGTTTGAACGGAAAACGGGATATAATAGTACGCGAAAAATGATTAGATGACATCAAAAAACTAAAAATCAGGCTATATCAGCTAAAGAATGGATTCTGCAAATAATAATTCATGTACTCCCAGCCATCTTGCAAAAAAGGCATTCAGGCAAGTTTGTTTATAATTATTTTCAATGTTTCGTTATTTTTTTTCTTTTTTTTTTTTAATTTTGATCGTAAAAATGGCTTTTTACGATTATGTTTCGTTTGTTTTGGTGGTGAATATAGATATGGAATTGATGAAGGAGAGGTTTCCAAAGTTGCTTCTAGGAGAGGATATGTCGGGTGGAGGGAAAAGTGTTTCGTCCGTTTTGGCGTTGTCGAATGCAATTACGAATTTAGTAGGTATCTCAAATTTTTTTTCCCTTAATTTTTACAAAAATAATTTGAGCAGCATCAAGAATGTTGAAAATTCTGAAGGAAATGATTTTTTTTTGTATGTAATAATATGTTTATGTGAATGAATGTTTAGCATCTGCATTTTTTTTTTCTTTTTTCTCATTGCCTTTTGTTTTATGAATTTGAGTCTGGTTTATATAGATTTGCTTCTTATTGCTGCAATTTTGATGGAATTTGCCGCATAGTCTTCAAGAGGAATTAACAAGGACATTCCCGAGTATTACGAAGAACTATCTCCCACAAAAAATTAACAGTAACATGATATAGTCATATTCGAATATGACTATTGTTGAATGTGCCTGTAGTCATATTCGAATATGTTCTATCTTCTCATTCAAGTTGATATGTAATAATAAGATTCAAATTGTATTTTTTTATGGATGTTGATTGGATTGTTTTTGTGCAATTTTCGTTTTTTTTATATATAATTTGGTAAAAATGACTGTACTCTACTATATAATCAGAATTATTAAGTTGAAAATGTAAAAACGACAATATAAAGAAAGAGTATGACTACAGTTGGTATAGTCACATATAGTCATAGTAGACTATAGTCATATTCAACTATAGTCATATTCGGCATAGTAAAATTATCGGGGGAAAAATTCAATTTTTCGTTTAAAAAGAATTTATAAAAAATATTATATATATATATATATATATATATATATATATACACACACACTGAGCATATTGAGTGCAGAAATATCCCTATTATATTGCCCATTATTAAGGAAGGTGGGATGAATTATTGGGTAAAAGATTTTATAATTTCTGAAGGGTAGTATTGGAATTAAAATTTCTAGGGGTTATCACATAGGAAGATTTAAGGGTTGGACATATCACCATTTATTATTCATCCAAGGGTTTATTGCTATATTTTTCATAAATAGAATTTCACTAATTGCACAACAATTTACCCTCGAATGAATGCGCACACAAAAAAAAAAAGAAAAAAAAAAAAATATGTGTCTTAACTTTTTCTTTCTTTTAATTCCATAAATGAAATTTGTTTCCAACAAAAGAGAGATACTGTGTTCTTTTTTAGGTCACAAACTTTAGAGAAAGTAGAAAAGTCAACGATCTTTTTACACTTAACATGGAAACTAATTTAATTGAGTTACAGTCACCCATTAATCTCCAAATCTTCCTCCCCCGATTTTCATGTCACACATATCACTAATTTCCTTTACTAATACAAGTAAAGAATATATTAATGCTCCACAGCAATACTTTTCTTTTTTTTGATTATAAATTAAAATTAATATCTCTCAAAATAAAAATACAGGCTGTCGAATAACAAAATAAAATTATATCATATGGCGGCGTTATATAAAATTTATTTGTTTTGTTTACAAGTAGTAGTTATATTTGCAGTAGTTAGTTGTAGTAGTGAAGATAGATATACAAATCATGGCCATGGCTGGAATCATGCTCACGCTACATTCTATGGAGATATCAATGGCGGTGAAACCATGCGTAAGTACTTATATTTATTCCCTTATATATATATATATATATATATATATATATATATATATATATATATATAGATTTATATCCCGAAGTAACCTAATGTCATTTTTCTGATATTTTATAGTTTTTCACGACTATTTTTGTCGCTGTCTTTTTTGTTCATTTCTTATTATAATTATTATTGTCATCTATTAAATTAATTTTTTTTTCGAATTTTGAAATATTATCCTGTGCATCGCACCAGAAAAACAAAACTATTTCTTTTTTCTAATGAATTGCCATTAGTGTTGCCCTAGCGTTAATTAGTTTTATATATAATGATATTAGAATACTTAGTAAATTTTACTTTTTCATAGAGTCAATTATTGAGATTTTGTCTCTAATTTTACGATAGAAATAATCATAGTTTGTGTTTTAAATTACAAATACGAATCTATTAGAATTTTATTTAAATCATCCTTTTGAATTTAATCGCGTAAAAATTTGTTATTTATTACAAGTATAACGTTTATTTGAAATTTAATAAAATTAGCTAAATTGTTCTTATAATTATATCAAACCTCATAGTATGTAGTGGTTTAATTTTCATAATATATTAATTCAATTTTATTTTTAATTTTTTAATTTTTGTTTTTGCAGAAGGGGCTTGCGGATACGGAAACCTATTCGAGCAAGGTTACGGCCTAAAAACAACAGCCCTAAGCACCGCATTGTTCAACAACGGTGCAGCATGCGGAGCTTGTTTCGAGATAATGTGCGCAAACGATCCACAATGGTGCGTCCGCGGTTCCGTAATCCGCGTAACGGCCACAAATTTCTGCCCGCCAAACTACACGAAAACTCATGATATTTGGTGCAACCCTCCACAAAAGCACTTCGACCTTTCGCTGCCCATGTTCCTAAAAATCGCGCAATACAAAGCCGGAGTAGTCCCGGTTATATATAGGCGAGTCGTGTGCTGGAAAAAGGGCGGTATCAAATTCGAGATAAAAGGTAATCCGTATTGGATGCTCGTTCTTGTGTACAACGTTGGTGGAGTTGGTGATGTTACGTCGGTCAAGATTAAAGGGTCGAGTAGTAATAATTGGATTGACATGAGTCGGAGTTGGGGGCAAAATTGGCATACTTCGGAGGGATTGCAAGGGCAGGCGTTGTCTTTTCGGGTGGAAACTAGTGACGGTAAGGTGGTGCAGTCGAACGACGTCGCACCGGCGAATTGGCAGCTTGGGCAAACTTATGAGGGCAAGAATTTCCATTAGTTACACATATTTTTACTTTGTGTTTAGTTAGTTTTTTTTAACATTGTGATGGGATGTAGTAGACATTTGAGTGTTTTTTTTTTTTTTTTTTTTTTTTTCGTTTTTCTAATATAGAAAATAGTTTGATAAAATATGAAATATTTTTCAAAGACTATAATTCACAAAAGGTAAATTACAACCACCCATGAGGCATGGTCACGAAAAAATCCCTCCTGTTTGGATAATTACGTCTACCCCTCAACTATAAATCTTCTTACATCTCCAGCTTTATGGTGTCAAATTCAACAAAATTATCTAGATTCCATGGAATGTTCTTTAGTTTGTACTCGTTTTGTGCAAAAATACAGTTTCTGATGCAGCACAATCTGATATATACAAGCCAAAAAACACACCTTATGATCATCTAGCTTCAATATATGAGCTCGAATGGGATAAAAACGGGTCTAAAATTGAGAATATTCCATATAATCTAGAAGATTCCACTAAATTTGAAACCGTAAGGGTAAACATGTAAGAATATTTATAGTTGAGGGGGATGATTGTAATTACCCAAATAAGAGTGAGGTTTTCGTAATTTAACTATACCCTAGGTGGTGGTTGTAATTTACCCATTCAGAAAATACATACAAATAATAAATATACTAAAAATGACTGGTTAAAATTTGGAGTCATGTTATAAGGTATTATCTTAAGATCTAAAATTCTGCACTTAGCCAAGTGATTAATGCAATGGGCAAAGCAAAAAGGGATATGATAAGAAATTTAAATGCACATTGGTCCAAAATAAAAAACAGTTTTTCAAATAAACCCATTCCCATGTCTTTCATAAAAAATATCCTCCATAATATATTTTTTGTCAATTCCATCATTATGCTCTAACTTTTTTAATATTATACATTGACCCTGGATTTAAACAAATATATCACATTAACTCCCATTGTAATAATTTTTTGAAAAAATATTTTATTTTCAGAAAATAATTTATTTTCTGAATTTTTTTTTTCCGGCCAGATTCCGGCATTGGCTTTTTTTTTTTTTGAAACTTTTCTTTTTTCTGAATTTTTTTTCCGGCCGGTCTCCGGCGTTACTTTTTTTTTTCTCGATATATATATATATATAAATTTTTTTCCTCTTAGAAAGAATATTTTAATTAATATTACTGTCTTGGCATTAATATTACTAATGCAGGCCACGACGATAAATTAATTAATACAGTTAAATTACTGTTGGAGACAGTAATTTAGCAGCCAAGACAATAATATTAATTAAAATAATTTTTGTAAGAATTTTTTTTTTCAAAAAAAGTAAATAAATAAAAGTCAATTAACAGTTGAAAATACTGTCTCCGACAGTTAAATAACTACTGGAGACAGTAATTTAGCAGTCAAGACAGTAATATTAATTAAAATATTTTTTTAAGGAAAAAAAAATCAATTAACAGTTAAATTACTGTCTCCGACAGTTAAATAATTGCTGGAGACAGTAATTTAGCAGTTAAGACAATAATATTAATTAAAATATTTTTGTAAGATAAAAAAAAAAGTCAATTAAAAGTTAAATTACAGTCCCCGATAGTTAAATAACTGCTGGAGACAGTAATTTAGCAACCAAGACATCAATATTAATTAAAATATTTTTTTAAAGATTTTTTTAAAAAAAAATTAAAAGAAAAGAAAAAAAAGTCAATGCCGGCGGTCGATGGCGGCTGACCTACCGGAAAAAAAAATAGTTTTTGGAAAAAAAAAAAAAGTCAACGCCGGAGACTGGCGGTCAACAGCGGCTGACAGGCGGTCTCTGGTGGTGGCGGGTCAAAATTGGGATCAAAATTGAAATTATGATCAAAATTGGTGAATTAGTGAAATTGGGCTAAATTGGGGTGTAAATCATGAAATTGGATTTGAATTGAGTTTCAATGAATTGAGGGTAATTTTGGTATATATAAAAGGGTTTTCCTTATTTGCAAATAAGTTTTGAATGAGTGGAAATATTTGCAAGACAAAAAAATTGAATGTCCCTTTTGAAATTAAGTGCCCTTGTCATAAGCCTATTTGCCATTTGCCATAATGCAATATCATCTCGAACGGATAGTTAATTAGAAAAAAAAACTAGTTGATAGGTCATAGGTTAATAAAATTGTGATTTAAGTTTTAAGAATATTTAAAATGATATCAATCCATCACAAGGTTATATATAAATATAATACAGGAAACTAAATAATGGGCAATAGGTGCAGGGTTAATTAGGAGGGTGTTTGGCTAAGCTTATAAGTTATTAAAAGGAGCTTATATGTTCTTTCAAAATATTTGGTAATTTAAAAAAAAATATCTTAAAAATTTCAAAAAATAAGTTGTTGGAGATAGAGCAAATAAGATAATTTAAAAAGTACCTCTAGTCCAAACACTTTAAAAATAGTTTATAAGCATATTATCCAAACACTTTAAAAATTAATTGTAGAAATAAAACATAACAGCTTATCAACTCTTAAAACAACTTATAAGACGTAGAAGTTTATTAGCTGTATAAAATAAGCTGGAGCCAAAGACGTAAGAGTTTATTAATTCTAGAAATAGGACATAACAATTAATGTTGATGATTTTCATTTTAGGTAATCGTGATTGTTCCGACGCTTTAAATTAATTCTTTGCAAAAATTCAATGCATCACATATATTGCATCGACCGGGTTAAGTTTGAAGCATGTTATGTGTTAACGAACATCCGAAAAAATCAACACATCCCATAGTTTGACCTCATTGTGGCTTTTTATAGAGCAACCTCCGTACATATATGTATGAAATAGTTTATAAGCATATTATCCAAACACTTTAAAAATTAATTGTAGAAATAAAACATAACAACTTATCAACTCTTAAAACAACTTATAAGACGTACTAGTTTATTAGCTGTATAAAATAAGCTGGAGCCAAAGATGTAAGAGTTTATTAATTCTAGGAATAGGACGTAACAATTAATGTTGATGATTTTCATTTTAGGTAATCGTGATTGTTCCGACGCTTTAAATTAATTCTGCGCGAAAATTCAATGCATCACATATATTGCATCGACCGGGTTAAGTTTGAAGCATGTTATGTGTTAACGAACATCCGAAAAAATCAACACATCCCATAGTTTGACCTCATTGCGGCTTTTTATAGAGCAACCTCCGTACATATATGTATGAAAACGTAAACTTTTTATTGAACCATATATCTGTTTTCTAATAATGTTATAAAACTCTAGTACAAAGATGACTATTTATACATTGAACCTTTTTTCATGGCCCTCCACTCACAAAAATTGAATGACTCAAATACACACTTATTTATTACCATCTCGCTCAATAATTTTTTAATGCACCTCCAATGGGTAAATTTGAGTCTAAGTATGGTCAAATTTATTTTCCATAGTTGAGAAACAACATCTCTATTTTAAATGCTAAATTTGGTGAAATACAACGGGTAATTATTAACTTTCACTTAGCACACATACATATGGGTGTATGTAATTGTGTGGAGATCAACGATCAATAATCATCTAGTGTACTTCACCTGGTGTAGCATCAAACAAACCTTAGGGGATATACACTATGCATGTAGATTTAAATGGCTATACATTTTCTTGATACATGAGTGTGCTTGGCAATTAATCAAATCAAATAATTGAGTTTTTTTCTCAAAATATTTAAGAAACTAAATTGATTTAAATTTTAATGTAATATTTTATTTTGAATGCAAACGATCAATGTTCGTATTAAAATTGTATATCCTCGATCTTGAACATCAATCTTAGTAGATAAATAGCTTCTTGTAACTTCATAGTCGTACGTCTAAATCGGAGGTTACGCAACGCAGAAGTGTTGTGAAAAGATCTAATCCTACACAACAAACAAACATTTGAAATCCATTGAAAAATATAGAAAATTCACAAAAAAATACATTACTTTCAAAATTTATGAAACCCTAAAGATCACTTGCTTATATTTTTTAATCTCGAAAAGTAATAAAGTCTTAATTAAACTAGGAAAATACAAAATTTTATCGAATGTGGCATACATGAGTTATTGACTAAATCTAATAGATCTTGTAATTTTAGGAATAACTCAATCGACTGAATCATGATTTGAATGAGATATGATTATTTTTTTAAACTTCCCTACAAACGATAAATCTACATTTTGAAGATCTAAACGACGTTGAATCGCTGAAATATTTTGTGATCCATGTGCTAATTGCTCACAAGTTTTGTTCGTGGACTGTTCACAACTTGAGAGATATTTGTTTCGAACTCAAATACGAATATTATGATGCCTAAAAGCCGTATTATTTCTATATCTCCTTTGTCATTCTCCTCTTCTAGAAGCTTCAAATGTTGCACCAATCTTTTTGGTACAAAAATATCGCTTACATTTTGTTTCTGTACGGTTTATAGAAAATGGCTTCTCAATCGACAATTCCCATGGCTCCAACAATTTATCTAATACAAGAATTTCACGAAGACCACTACCCACAGTTAGATCACATACACTTTTACAACATTTTTTGCAAAATAGTTAATCAAATTTTACTAATTTAAGCAATTTTTTCACCATTTTCTTTTCCTTTTAAAAAACTGTTTAATTGTTAAGATAGAAGGCAAAAAGAAAAGTTTTTTTGTATGTTATACTATCTTACTTAATCGAGACTAGCTAATTCGATTTTATACATAATTAAATTGTGAACAATTAGGAGATAGTGTAATAGCAATATATTTTGTCATTATATATATACTCAAATAGAGAAAGAAAACTAGTTAGACGAAATATAACTTATTAGACTGTGTTCTACATAAAATTACCAGTTTAAAGAAATGAATAGATAACCTCGATTTTATTTTTTCTCTTTTGTGATTTTTTTAAGAATATTTGGATTTATAAACTATATCAAATAATGCAGTGTAATTAGTATTTTTGTTTTTTTACTGATCTTGTTCGAAAATAGAAAAGCAAATTCCCAAAAGTTCCTTAGAGGCTCATATGTAGTAAACTTCCAAATAATACTGAAATTAACCAAAAAAAAAAAAAAAACAAAAAACAACAAAAAAAGACCTAACAAGTCCGAATAATATCGATCAAAAGAAAGAAAGAGCCAAATAATACAAATAAAAAAACTAAAACGAACGAGTTCGAATAATATCGGACTCAAAATATGTAATGTAAAAAATTGTTCAAACTAGCAATAATCTCGAAATCACTAGAAAGTTTGGTGTTCGCCATAGCGATAAAAAGTCGGTCTACTCCCAAAATCTGCATCAATCAATCGATACAGCTGGCCTTCGTATCACGTCTCGAGATTCTTGCGGCCACGCAGCGCTTAACGGGTGCAGACAGGTTGTTAACCTGTTCGGCGCTTAACCGGTACTTCCGCATTTCCCATAGGGTTTGTTTGGGCCTCGAAGAATTCTCGGCAGTCGTAAAGTAGGTCGACAAATACTTGTAACCTATAACCTTGCCATCTTGACCGATGACCGCGTCTTCTTTGCCGACTGATCTCCAAGAACCGATGCCTTGTCCCACCTTTCGATCTTTTACGATCTCTCCCTCAAAGTACTCGTCTCCGTCGATGAAGAAGTGCCATTCTTTATCCGATGCGCTACCTTTGTTATCCTTCGTTTGGTTTTTCACTGATCGAAAGTCCAACGATAAACAAACAAATCATTATTATACATGTATAGGTGTTAGATCTGAAATATATATATATATATATATATATATATATATATATATATATATATATATATATATATATATATATATATATATATATATATATATATATATATATATAGAGG